TGGGAAGGAGAGGCAGAGTCAGGAAGGGCTGTCATTCTTCAGGGGCCAGAGTCATGCAGTCCCTCCTCTGTGGCCTATGCCATCCCCCAAGCCACACCTCTTCTTGTTCTTGATGATTTTCAGGGCCACCAGCTCATTGTTTTTGTGATCCAAGCACTTGGCCACCTGTCCAAACGACCCCTTCCCGATCATCTCCAGAACCTCATAGCGGTAGGCAATGTGGTCATGCAGGACCTGTGGAAGCCAGGCCAGAGGTGAGGGGCAAAGCCACGGGCTCTGGGGCCTTCCTGGCACGGGGCCCTGGCATTCCCATCCCAGATCGTGGCTCACTCCTGGAGGAACTTTCTGACTGCACTGGTCACTTGTGTGACTCTTGTCCTCATCTCATTGTGACTGTAAGGGGAGCTTGTTGCCTGGATTCTGGGCCACCCATGTGGTGCCAGGAAAAGTCCCACAGGCTTGATCCATGTCAAGCAGCACAAAGAACACTGGATAGTTTTAGGAAATTTGAGCTCTAGTCCCAGTATTGTAGCTCTACTTCTAGTCCTCTAGGTTTCGGAGTGTTTTAGGACCTATAAAATATGAGAGTTGGACAAAGTAGCAAGGAAGGTCCCTTTCAGTTTGGACATTTTTTAAGTCTTGAAGCTAAGCAGCATTTTTGGTTTGGGGAAAGTTTTGTTTATGACCCCTGATGTGTCTCTGACAATCAGAGAAGTATTTAGGTCTGCTCTGCCTCTTCCTGGCCAAATTTGGTTCTCCTTTGGGCTTACTGGGATTTAATCCTATCCTGGAGTCAGCAGTATAGAACTCAGACCTTTCTTGGTGAAGAGAAATATTTCAGGAGCCAGAATCACCCATGTCTCTCCCTATGCTGGAAACTAGGGAACAGAGGGGGTTAATCAAAGCCACAGGAATTTTCTATTTAAAAGACTTCAGCTTTAGACAAGCCATTTATCCATTCTGAGCTGCAGTGCTGTTGTCTGTAAACTGAAGACGCTAGGCAAGATTATCTCTAAGGTCCTAAAGCTCTGTGGATCTCTAATTTCTAGTGTTACACTCATGCGTTTGGGAGAGGTGAAGGATTAGGTGTTTGTGGACAAGTCCTCAGGATGTGTTTGAAAATGTGCGCTGGGAGTCTGTTCATACAGGAGGAATCAAGACTGAATTTGAATGTGTACAGCTTTCCTGATTTAAGGATGTAGGTTAGTCTGTTTGTAAGGGTCTGTCATGAGAATGTATGGGTAAAGGACAGGGACAGGATCCGCACACATGTTGCTATAAAATTACATATGTGTTCTCTTAGCATTTGTGCTAGCCTTCTGCATACTACCACTTTGTGTTGGAATTGTTTGTTCGCATGTCAACTTTGACATTGATTGTGGTTACTTGAAAGCAAAAACCATTTTGTATTCGTGATAGCTTCCTTTATATTTCTAGAGTCCAGCAGATGTCCAAGCTTATGACAGATTATCACTCAATACATAGGCATTCAATTAACATTGGTTGACAAAATAAAGTGAGAATGCAGCTATGCTGCTTGCTTGGGAATTTGGCTATGTGCAATATGTACTTGCATGTATACTGGAATGCAATAAGGATGGTGATTCTGAGCTTACAGAGAGCACAGATTATCCTCTTCCCCCTGACACCCCCTCCCCCACCCCGAAAACCAACTTTTTCTAAGATTTGAGACTGAAGAACTGAGCTCCAATGAATTAACTTAAAAGTAGTACTGACACCCTTAGGGAATTCCTCAGAGACCCTGGGTTCAGGTAGGAGCAGAGAAGGGAACAGGGAGGGAGGGGTTGAAGAGATCTTGATGAATCAGAGTTGGAATTTATACTGGAGATTCCTGGCTGGCATGGTGGCTCACACCTATAATCCTAGCACTTTGGGAGGCCAAGGCGGGTGCATCACCTGAGGTCAGGAGTTCAAGACCAGCCTGGCCAACACGGTGAAACCGTGTCTCTACTAAAAATACAAATATCAGCTGGGCAAGTGGCAGGAGCCTGTGATCCCAGCTACTCTGGAGGCTGAGGCAGGAGAATTGCTTGAACCCAGGAGGTGGAGTTTGCAGTGAGCCGAGACTGCGCCACTGCACTCCAGACTGGTGACAGAGTGAGACTCTGTTTTAAAAAATATTAATAATAATATGTATATCCCCATATATATGTGTGTGTGTATATATATTTATATTGGAGATTCCTAACCAAGTGTTGTCTTTTCTGGGATGAGGACCTATAGCTTTTATCAGGCTCCCGAAGAGATTCTTGACCCAAAATACTGAAAACCCTGGCTCTAGAAGGCAGCTGTGTGACAGAAACAAAATCCTTGCTTCTCAAAGTGTGGTCTGAGGATCAGCGGCACAGGCCTCACCTGGAAGCTCAGGCCTCAAGCCCAGAACTGCTGGATAAGAATCTGCATTTTCACAAGATACTCCAAGTGGTTTGTGTTCAAAGTAATGCCAGACAAACACGGCCCTAAATGCTGTTAATAAAATCTGCCTCTTCTATGAGCCATCAAGAGACTCATCTTGCCTCTTAAATCCAAGTTGTGATGAAATGTCCTGAAGAGGAAATTCCTGATAGCCCACAGCCTAGTGGACGAAGCACCACATAGCCCACCATGCTCTACCCTGGGAATCGCTGCTCAGCTTCCGCCTTCAGGCTGGGAAGAGGCACGGTCCTGGGGAAGCCCAGGGCTACAGTCAGGAGAAGGAAGTGGAGTTGTTGGATCAAATTTTGAAAAACAGAATGAAATTAAGCTCTATGCATCAGGGACTACAGTGACAAAACGTTTTTTGTCTGTGGGGATCTACTGGAAAATAGAAAAGAGTCCATGTATGGGCTTGTACTGAGGAGGCAAAAAAGGGGGTGTTGGGAAAACTGCACCTTATTCCCGTCTGGCCTCTTCCAGTGGGCTACACAGGGAAGGAGCGTGTGGGAGCTCACCCAGGATGCACCCAGGAGCTCACCCAGGATATTTGCATTTTTAGTAGACACAAGTACTCTTGGGAGAAAATCATCTTCCATGAGTAGAGTATTTTGCATGCTAAATTGCATGTTTCCCCATTTTAAAACATGGTATTTCTTTGGTTTGGCACCTACTAGAATACCTCAGGACACCTAGTCTCCAATATATTAGCACCAAATATTACAAAATACCCCTGCTTTTTTCTTTCGAGACTACCTCTTGTCCCCAGGCCCTTGGAGGTTCCCATGTCCCCTCCCCCATCACCTTCAGATAGGAGCCATGCTCATCATCAAAACTCGTCTTGCTGAATTTCTTAGGAGCCACGTTGAGCTTCTTGGCTTCAAGCCCCAGGAACCATAGCTCCGTGTAGCCCAGGATTTCACTTTGCTCATACGGAGAGAGCTGGTTCTTAAAAAGCTTTAGGGCCTCTGTGTGAAAAACACTACAATTGTGAGTTAAGTTGAGGCAGCATGGGATTTGCCCAGGATGCAGACGGTGGCATCCCTTCCAGGTCACCAGCCATCAGCCTGTTCCCCAGCTGGTTGGCTCACTGAGGACCATGCATCTGGCATCTCACAGATGGAAATATGTCAAGGATAAATGTCAAGGTCTTGTATTTAATTCAATAAATCAAGAAAAGAACACAAAGAGAGGGAAAGGGGAACTCAGTCCTCCAAAACCTGTGGGTTAGAGCAGCATGGGTGAAAATTCCAGGAGTAAAGTTAGAGTCAACAATCGTATATAGTTTAGGTGGCAAGTTGCCCGAGTTAATGTGGAATTTATAATTAGTCTGTCTTGAGAAGCTTTGAAAACTGTAATGTCTACAGGGCCAGACATAAAGGAAACATCAAAGGCCCAGGAGGCTTCACACTCAAATCTGCAGTTGAATCAGGAAGGACCTGAGATTGTGAGGAGAGGTTATGAGTTAGGACTTCTTTACGCCGGCCAGATCACATCAGCACTCTGGCGCGTGGTCAGGGGTAAAATTCACAGTAATTGATAAACTGAAGCATTCTCAGAGAAAAGAAAGTAGGATTAGGACAAAGGGCACCGTATGATTTGACAAAATCTCTAATGCTGAAGCATTAGAGAGAGAACTGCAAGGAAAAAGAAAAAGACTTACAGGGAACCAGAATTCCATCTTCATATATGTGAAGGGCAGTTGTGTGGAAGCGGAATAAGGCATGTTCTTTGCCCAGCAGACAGAACCAAGGCCTAAGATAGCAGGGGACAGATGGCTCTGTAAAGGCAGAGCTAACTCAGGACTGAAATGACCTCCTCATGCATAGTTCCTGGGGTTGTTTAAGAACAACAAGCACCAATTTCAGTTTCTAAGCCGTGGTAGAAGGACTGTAAAGCATCTGATGATGGCACATAGTGGATGTTCTCTTCCTTTGCATCCTAATAGGTTATGAGTCTCTGAACCCCATTAGGAGTCTAGCGCCTGGCCAGAAACCCATGTGTAATCTTTCAGGCTTGACCACCGGCAGTCCACAAAGGCTTCACCTGGCAAGCCTCACAGGCAAAGCTGCCCTTCCTGCACCAGAGCTGGTACACAGCCAATGCATTGCAGTCTCTGGAGGAAGCTACAGCCAAGGACTGGGACCCCTGGCTGGCCATGCTCTTCTACAAATCTGTATTTCTAATCAAGAGCCCCCCATAGAGGCTCCTTTCCAAGACCTCCTTATCCAGAGGAAGGAGCAAGCTTCAACACCCTTTGCTCTGTCTGACTCGGCATTCGGTCCTTTTCCACTTCTAGCTCTTCCACCCTCTCAGTGCCTTCCCCCGGGCCCTTGGGTCCCTAAAATGACAGGAGCTTTTTGTCTGGGCTTCTTAGGTAATGAGATGCTTCCCTCTGTCTGCATTGGTACATCTGATCCTTGCCCAGAGCTACTCCATGGGGAAAAATTCAGCCTCTTGCTTATACTGTCACAGTCAGAGGTTCAACATTTAATTTCTACTTTCCTCTTGGCTTGCTGCCTTAATTGACTACTCTGGCACCTGGCAGCTTGGCTCACTCCGGCGCAGCTTAGCTCTTCACACCCTGACCTTCCATAACCGCCTCCCCACCTCCCCACCCTGCTACTGCCCCAAAGGCATACCTGCTGCTGTCAGAGGCACCTTGTGCTTCTTTGGTGACTTCTCCTCTGCCTTGGAATCCTGGGTTTCAATGCTAGGGTGGCAAGGTATTTTTGAAGCCTTGAGCTGTGAGGTCGGCATCTGATTGTGAGCTTGATTCTCCTGTCCAGGAAAAGAGGTTTGCAATAAATAACTACTTAAGACTCTCCTGGGTGCCATAAACCATTTATTTAACCAAAGACACCCAGCTCCAGCCAGGCTCTTTACCTACCTCTCCAGGGAGGAAAGAGCGATTAAGAGACAGTAGCTTCTCCCTACCTCTCTCCCAAAGGAAGTATCTGTCTGACTCACACTATTCCCTGGGAGCCCCCTGTACCTTACAGTAGGCTAATGACAACCCCAGCAGCATCTCACGGTGGGCACTGTGGGAAGGGATGGGAATGGTTTTTTCACAGCTACTCTTTTTTTTTTTTTTTTTTTTTT